GGAAGACTGAAATTTACGGCCACGTAGCTTTGCTTTCACGCGGTGAAAGAGAAAGAAATCACATGGTGCGAGATCAGGTGAGTACGGAGGGTGTGGCAAAACGGTGACCTGTTGCCTTGCCAGTTCCTCTTGGACAAGAACAGAGCGATGTGCAGGGGCGTTGTCGTGTAGCAACAGCCAATTCTTCCTACGCCAAATGTTTCGCTAGGGGATTTGCCTAGTTCTTGGCAGAACTATGTTTGCCCGTTGTTCAAACTGCCACATTTTCGATTTCCGCCACTTGCATGTAACTGCAGTTCACAATAGAGGTCGTAGTTCTACTTACACTGTTTGCACATAACTGCCTCTTGCTGTGACGAGAGATGAGCCGACAGGGCATAAGATCGTGCCTCAACTTATCCGCTGCAACGATGCTTTGCGGCCAGTCCACGAACTTATTGACTATGGTAGTGTGACATAACCATATTCTTACGATATTTGACTGAAGGCGAATAAGCACCCATTACTGTAATATGCTACATTCTTCTTTAGTCCACATCAGGAAATAATCATCCCTTTTCGCTGCGTCATTCGACTTCATTCATTGAGCTATGACAATGCATTTTTATTGGTTTCTAGTTTCATATTTCTACCTTAACTCGATTTCAGTCCGCAAGCGAACTATACCGACCGAGTGATCGCTGCTTGTCGGCAAAGTTTATTGTCAACTTTTGCGGATAGAGGGTGTCGCGTGGTCAGCGCAACGAATCCTCACGGCCGTTAATTTCGGTTTTCTGCCTTAAAATTGCATTATTTTATGAACATTATGAGAAAATAATACGCAGCGCCGGTTAAGATTTTTTTTTTTTTAGATTTGGATCCATTGATAGCACACAAACTCTCACAAGCTAGCAAAAACACATTTATATATTCCTTGATATTTTGAAAATGGAATTAGGTTAATATTTTACACAGTCTTTTCCCCCTACTACGAACCCGTAAAGAACAAATTTCTCCATTAGAGTCATATGGGCTGTAAGAGGAATCGATTGCATTTGTAGAAAGGCGGTGTGAACAGTGCCCGATAAGCTTGCTTCAGGTTTCAGCAGGCACGGTGAAGTAAACTTAGCCCCGTATTCGCATACGGAAGTTGTCTGCATAACAGCAGCACGCGTTTAGTGGGACATCGCCTCATTGACATACTCGTAGTATACTCTAAAGGCAGATGAATTTAGCCACTTCAGAGACTGCGAAGTGTTACCGGATGTAAGTCAAAATGGTTTACTTATTTACTTTTGAAGAGCCGGGATAGCTCAGTCGGTATAGCGACGGGCTACGGGCTCGACAACCGGGGTTCGATTCGCGAGAAGTGTGAGAAATTTTTATCCATTCCACAGCGTCCAGACCGGCTCTGGGGCTCACTCAGCCTCCTATACAGTGGATACAGGGGGCTGTTTCCACGGGGGTAAAGCAGTCTGGCCGTGAAGCTGACCGCTCACCTCCGTTTAGTGCTGAAGTCGCCGCTTGTCGGCGAAGTTACCGCCAACTTGCGAATAGAGGGTGTCGCGTGGTCAGCGCAACGGATCCCCACGGCCGTTAATTTCGGTTTTCTAGACCGGAGCCGCTATTTCCTTGAAATAGCTCCTCAGTTATCCTCACGAGGCTGAGTGGACCCCGTTCCAGACGCACTACTTCTCAGAAAATCTGGTAGCACCGGGAATCGAACCCGGGATCTTTGGATCTGTAGCCAGGAACTCTGACCTCTAGAGCACAGAGAGACAACTTTAGTTGGTTTTTGCCTTTCTATTTACTTCTGAGACAAGGAGTATTGTTAAGTTGTTACATATAAGAACGAAGAAAACCAGCAGCTGTCATACAGGAAATCCCATTGAACACAGATATTTTGTTCCGCAAGGTTACCTGCTCTAGGTATAACACATTTTCTGAGATCAAATGCGAGTAATTAACTTTTTTACTATGGATGTGCCATTTATGAAACACTCCTGAAATAATGTTTTAGAGAGTCTGTTACTTCCGTGCACACAAACATGACCTGAGCCATCTACGTATGCAGAACTTCCTTCGCAGTTTCATAACGCATTTCCCTTCTGAAAGGAAATGGATTACGTCAAGTGTGTGTTTACACTACAAGTGAATTCGTACGAATCTGAGTTCTCGCGAACTCTGACATTATCGAAAACTATCGAACCATTTATTGTAACCGGTCATGGCACAAGCTAAATCTTTCCCCGAAGTGGGCTACATTATGTCAGATCACTTGTCGATCAAACAAATGTAACCTAAAGGGCAAATGTTATCGTAATTGGGACAGCGGAAAGCAATTACTGGCCTAGATTTGGGAACATTTAAATATTTCAAGTAAGAAAACGTTTCAATAAACAAATGTAATTTATTGTTATGGTAATTCTGTTGAGCATTGAAATGTTGAAATAGTTTTTAATTATTTCTTTAATGTTGCCTGTTTAGCTGGTCCGTTTATGACCTTTATTTGCCTTACCGTAGACAGGTGTATGCATCTAGACATCTGACACAGAGTGAGATTAAAATTACGAATTCCTTGTTTGTCAGTAACAATATTGCCGCGTGTTTGCTGGGCAACGCGACAAGAAAATTCACGTGGGTTTCGGATTTGGCTACTGTGTTTATTGGACGCACACTTACACTCACAAGTACAATTGTTCAAATTTCAGTATCACAATTACTGCTTCTGGTACAGTCGAAGCGTAAACTTTTTACGGTCAGCTTTATCTAGTTCCATTTCCCTGCATGTATTGAGCAACCTCCATATACAAAAATAAACTCACCGTGGTTTTAGTCCGCAAGCGAACTATACCGACCGAGCGACCGCCGCTTGTCGGCGAAGTTAGTGCCAACTTTAGCGGACAGAGGGTGTCGCGTGGTCAGCGCAATGACTCCCCACGGCCGTTAATTTCGGGTTTCTAGACCGGAGCCACTACTCCGGTTGCAATTATTCTGAAGCCTCATTCCGCCCTTATCCATGCTTGCGAGAGCGCAGAGTTACATACATCTTCTGACCTCGATATAGCACTGTAACACGGAGCGGTGTATCGGTCTGTGCAAGTATTTCATCATTTGGTTATTTCTTCAGGGATTGACACAAACTTGATGCCGTAAGTGTCTCGCCATCACTTTGTTTTCCATGCTTGTCTGTGTCAGCGCAAAGAGGTTTATACTTTGTATCGCGCACAGCTTGCAGAATATCATGAAACAAGGCAGGAAATAAGTGTATAACGCAATTGATGTGGCCACGATGTCATGCCACAAAGACCAACCGATTAATGCTGTTTAGTGAAATATTCGCTATTTACTGTGAGAATCAGTCGATGGAAGCACTCTCTGTGAGTAGAATGAACAGAGTTATGACGTTAAAACAGGTGATATACTGCCCAAGCGGTGGGCCCTTCCGGCCTTTGCACTGCCACCTTCAATTATAATTGAATAGATAATTATCTATTGTGCTGAGCAAGTGATGTGTGTATTTGGAATGTATAGTGAGGAAATGTAATGTAGACACAAGGAACACAATAGCGTATAAACAAACGCAAATAATAACGTATGCGGATGATATTATTATAGTATCGAGATCCCTAGGAGCAATGAAGGAGACATATAAAGAAATAAAAACCATAGCAGAAACAACTGGTTTAGAGGTGAATGTAAATAAAACTAAAATGCTGATACAATCCAGAAGGAATCCAAGGCAAACTGGAGAAATTAACATGGAAGGGGACGGGATAGAAATAGTGCAAGACTTCATATATTTAGGATCGAAATTCCACAAAGATGAAGAGGAAAATCATGAAATATCAAGAAGAATAAAACTAGCGAATAATGCATATTTCTCGTTACTATCAGTTTTTAGATCAAAGGATATACACTGAGCGATTAAAACAAAAATATATAAAACAATGATAAGACCGGTGCTTTATTATGGATGTGAGGGTTGGACGCTAAACAAGAAAGAGGAATCAGTCATCAATTCTTTCGAGAGCAAAATCCTAAGACGAATTTATGGACCAATAAAAGAGAATGGGATATGGATAATAAGATATAATAAAGAGTTATACAAATTATATAAGGAGCCAGAGATCTCAGTGATGATAAAGCTTAAAAGATTCCCATGGACTGGGCATGTACAGAGAATGGATAAGGAGCGTATCCCAAAGAAAATATTATACAGTACAATAGGTGGTAGGAGACGTGCGGGGAAACCAAGAACTAGATGGATTGATGCGGTGGAAGAAGATGCAAAGAAGTTAATGGGCATAAGGAACTGGAAGAGAGCAGCGCAGGATAGAGAGGAATGGAGGGACTTGATAAGGGAGGCCAAGGCCCGACATCGGGCTGTTGCGCCATAGAAGAAGAAGAAGAAGTGATGTGTGTATATATATAACTCCGTGGCCTGTAGTCCGCAAGCCAACTATACCGACCGAGCGACCACCGCTTGTCGGCGAAGTTAGTGCCAACTTTTGCGGATAGAGGGTGTCGCGTGGTCAGCGCAACGGATCCCCACGGCCGTTAATCTCGGGTTTCTAGACCGGAGCCGCTATTTCCTTGAAATAGCTCCTCAGTTATACTCACGAGACTGAGTGGACCCGGTTCCAGACCCACAACTAATCAGAAAATCTGGTAGCGCCGGGAATCGAACCCGGAACCTCTGGATCTGTAGCCAGGAACTATAACAACTAGACCACAGAGGTCTATAGTATACATATAGTAACCACTGGGTTCCAAAAAGTTAAGTTTAGCCTGTTTAATATGACTTGACAACAGTAATCCATATTTTACTCCACTTCTTTTGGTAACAAATGAGAGATGTGCTTTCTGACTGGTCGGGAAAGAGTTTGAGAGAGCAGATTAGGCAATAAGATGCCTGTACCGAACTCATAATCGTGTTCTCTGCGTCTCCTTCATCATTCTCTTACTTTTCGCGCTTCAAATTTGCAGTTCCTAATCCCGGTCATGGCCTTGTCTTGCAGATTTCTTCAGCTCGCTGTTCCGGGGAACTGACACGGTGCCTTCTGACTACATGGCCGGCTTTATCCTGATGAGAGTCCGTCAGAAACGCGAGACCAGAGAGAGACGCAGACTCCAGCTCCTGGATAAAGAGCCGCAGAATGTGCATGGTGAGACTTGACAAGCCCACAGATCATTACTGCAACTATTAATTAAGTCATCTGTGCTTTTTGGCCTACATTTATGTCTTTATATACGGGCACATGGTAGCCTAGTTGGTTAAGGCACAATACTACAAGCCGGAACGTAGCGGGATCGATTCCCGATGAGGTCATTGGATTTTTCAATTGACCTAATCCTTCCAGCCGCACTGTGTCCCTGGGGTCGATTCAACCTCTCACAGAAATGAGTACCAGGTATCATCCTGTGGGTAAAATTTGTCACATCCAAAAATCTTATTGTTAAAAGTACAACGTTCCCACATTGTAGTATTCATAAATTTATTTGGACATCTCCTAATGGAAAGATGCACAACAAAATTGACCATATTTTGATAGAGAGGAGACGGCATTCAAGTATACTTGATGTCCGATCGTTCATGGCAGCAGATTGTGATACAGACCACTATCTGGTGGTGGCAAAAGTTAGGGGGACAGTGGCAGTGAGTAAACAAACACCACACAGAGTTCATATGGAGAGGTTCAATCTCAAGAAATTAAATGAGGTAGAGGGTAAAGAGCAGTATCATGTTGAAATCTGAAATAGACTCGCAGCTTTGGAAAACTCAGACATTGAGGTGGATATTAAAAGAACTTGGGAAAATGTTAGAATATCAAAATATCTGCCAAGAGAATCTAGGTTATTATGATTTAAAGAACCATGAGCCATGGTTAGATGAAGGATGGTCTAAATTATTAAATCAAAGGGAACAAACCAATTTTCAGTGCTTACAGGATCTGAGCGAAATAAATGGGGGTAATGTGGACAATATAAGACATGAAACCAGCAGACATTTCAGGAATAAAAAGAGGGAATATCTGAAAGACAAAAGTGATTAGCTTGCAACAAACAGTAAGAACAAGAATATTAGAGACCTGTATAGAGGAATAAATGACTAAGAGGGGTTACCAACCAGAAGTAACTTAGTGAAGGATGAGAATGGTGATCTGCTTGCAGAGGGCAGGGACCAGTGGATGGCTCTTGTGAATCTAGTAACGAACCTTCAGTTTCCATAAAATGCTGGGAAGATCTTGAGTAGCTGCGCAATTGGCGGCTTCTCAAGAAGGGTTCAGCTCCTTGAGTAAGAGAGTGAGTGAGAGAGTGAGGGTAATAATGGGAACAACAGAGTAGTGTACCATGATATTGCTGGCCAAGCCAACACAGATCGTCCCCTTTGTTTCACTATTAGAACCAGGCATTCCAGGTTGTAGGCTTTCTTGGGTGTTCTCCAAACGTAAACTTCTCTTGATGTAGGGAACATCATGAAGGATGACTTATCAGACTATATCATGTGATCATGTCCAGTTGTCTGATGTCCAGGTTTTATGGTCATGACACCACCGTTTACGCATCTGAGCATTACTTTCCATAATCTGAGGTATAAGAATTGCAGCTCTACCATGGATGTTGGATTTGTGAAGCACACGTTGGGCAGTTTTTCTGGAAACAGAATCTTCAAGATGAGTGCTCATTTCTGCTGTCCTGTCACCTGGGCTGCAGTAGTTTTGTGATTTTCCGAAAAAAACCCTTCTCAATGTATGACAGCTCTTTCTGTCAATGTTGATTTTCACCCGTTGTTCCTCTTCGCTGATGTTGTCTCCCCATGATTCATGTGTGCTGACATAACCTTAGAAACTGTCGACCTTGATACACCTAATAATGTGGCAGTTTTTGTCACAGATGCTCCAACTTAACCCTGGAATGCCAAAAACTGCATATGTACCTCTCACTGCCATATTCTGGAATATTTGGGGCTGCCAAGAATAATGACTGCTACAAAATGACAGAGTATCAAGCTATAAGTATATATACCGGTATATATCCAAGTTGATTTGGATGTAGCGATAATAAAGACAGAAATTCTTTCAAATCAAATCCCAGTCATCTAGCAGAAATAAATGGATCCATGTATGTGTATGTGAGCGGGTATTAGAGAGAGAGAGAGACACACACATGACGCCTGAAAGCTGGAATAGCGGATCCAGAGTAGACGTTAATTGCTTTGCAACGACTCGGTAAACAGGTTCTCCTGGCAGCAGATAAACAAGCAACAATCGAGGTATTTTTGAACTGTAAGGACAAAAACAGTGTTTTATGTTGGATCCACCCCAAGACTATATAACGAGGATCCCGGGCCAGCTGAGTGATAACCGAAGGAATCTCTTCAGACGGCAGTCGAAGATGATTGAGGAGAGATGGCAACGAGTTAGTCGGGTTGCAAGAGCTTGGTTGTGTAAAGAAGACTTCATGTGTGCTGCAGTTACAATGAGACCGGTAAAATAAATGTGTTGAACTCTGTTGCCAGGATATGACTAGTGCAGACTATGAAAGCTAGTGTGTGTATAATGGGGAACTGTAAAGTGTGTTGATCAGCGATGGTGCCGCATCACTTGTGGTTATGAGTTGAGTGTATAAGTACAACGAATTCAATCATCCAATCCAATAGCTGTCTATTAGCTATAAACCCCCAAAACATGTGAGAGTATGTGAGTGTGACTGCATATATATATGCACGCATGCGCGCGCACACACACACACACACACACAAGTGGATTCACTAATTTGTGCTAGATGACTGATTTGATTCAAAAGAATTTCTGTCTTCATTATCACCATGTCCAAATCCACTTGGACATACTTAGCCTGCTTTAGAGTTACTACCCCGTGGCAATTTGGCTGCAGCATAAAGCTGACTGCTTGTCTCCAGCAGTGCAAGGTCGAGAATCATGCATGGAATTGTAGCTCTTGTCACCTATGCACATTCGTGGCTTTGAAAATAGTCGCAGTGGCACTGTTCATTTGTTTCATCGCTTAATACAGTTTCTTTGCACGTGTGACCCACAGATGTGCAGAAGGTGATGGCAGATGCACCAGACTGGATGTCATTGGAGCTAGCTCATCATTTTTTAAAACTGGCCATGGCCGCCTACACATGGCCATTTGTTATGTACAGATATCCATTCAGTGGTCTGGCCAAACTCACGGCCAACATGACATGTTGCTCATGCATAAGGTGAGTTTCAGCAGGGACAGCTATATTAATATTGGGAATTGTTTTTACCATAGATGCTACCAGGATATTTTCCAGGGGTAATGTGCTACCAATTTTCCGGGGGGGGGGGGGGAGAAAATTTTCTTACAAACTTACATTTAATCTCTCTAACAATCTTACTTATTACTGTAGAGTTTCTAGGGCAGATTAATAATTTTAAGTGCTATTCATTTTTGGCATTATTATTTGCTATATTTCCTTCCATCTTTTTATTTCGATTTTTTCCAAAAAGCCTGTGGAGGGGCCAGATGCCTGGGGAGTGGATGTATAACTCCACACATTCTTGACCTTGGCACAAGATGGAAGTGAGTGGTCGGTTTTGTGCTTTAATCCCAGGAAAATAACCCTGGTATTTATTAGATAGGAGGCTGGGTGGACTTTGTAACTGGTCTGAATGCTGCAGAGAAGAGAAAAGTCAACCCTTAATTCCCAGCTCCTCTTACCTGTAGTCTAGTCACTGTTGGGTAAAGTAAGTTAATTTGGTATTAAATTCGAAAGGTATGGGCTTGAAGGATAATAAAACTTTATTAACACAAAATAGACAGAGATGTATTTCTGTTATAGTAGCATGTTCATGTTGACTTTGTGACATAGCCCACAGTGCTATTCCAATTTAAGATTATTTAAAAGTGGCATTGTAAAATAAGATAATCAGATGATATGGGGATTAAGATGCTGATAGTATTAATGCAGTGTGGTGACATATAGTCATACTTAAAATCGCTGTCTTTAACTTCTTGCAGCCAAGTTGGCTTCAGTTTTTACCTTGAATCATCAGTTGGTTTGTTAGTAACAGAGACATCACATATGTACACAACTGTATCTTCACTGATGTCCTGGGACTGAAATCTTCATACACTCAGTTCACTTTGTTACATCCTCTGAGTATGATAAGTGCAGTAAACCCCAACATCAAGGAGCTTCAAAAGTTGACTGGTGTGAGTGGGGAAGGTGAACAGAAATATCTGATTATCCTTCATCAATTTAACAACCTCACAGCTCAAGTGCTATGAATGGGATTCCATTAAAAGGACAGCACATCTAGTCTGTGGGAGGAATACACTCACTTATACAATTTATTAAAGAAAAGAAAAACTAAAGCTATCCCTGTACCAGACTGTGAAGGCCCATAGGATTGTGAGACGTTGAGGGTTCCACATTATCTGGACAATCAGCTCGAAGATGGCAGTAAGGGTGTCAGCCTTACGCACCGGCCATGCTTTACTCCCCAGGAAAATGATTAAATTAATTCGCGGTACTCATTTCTGTTAGAGGCCGAGTCAACCTCAGAGCCATAGTGCGGCCGGAAGGATTAGGTCAATTGAAAAAAATCCAATGACCTCATTGGGACTTGAACCCCCGACCTTCCGGCTTGTAACATAGTGCCTCAACCAACTATTTATCCAAAATTTGCATAAGGGCAAATATATGGTACATTTTATGAATGCCAAGGTTATGTTACATAATTTCCCTAGTGGAAAAATTCCTTAACCTGAACATTCTAATGCAAGGATGTACTGTATTTGTTTCTTGGTTGTTACAATGTTCCACAGCACTTAGTGTTTTTTTTTCTTTTCTTTTCAGATCCAAGTCAACACTGGTGCGGGAGGACAACTGCTGCCTCTGCAACCTTGCAGGCGTCCGGTACCTCTCCATGATTGCTGAGGAAGATATTCTGTTTGCCTCATTTCGGAACCGGATATTTGAGGTGAGGGTGCACCACTAAACTTCTATATCATATGATGAGCATGTCAACGAAGAGTGAGCATTGCTGTATTTTTATATAGGAAAATGATCTTACTCAGTGATATGTAGCTGCAAATTGCTATATAAACTGCTGGTGCTGTTTATCTGAGAGAATGAATAAATAAAGGGACTGTAAGATATAGTATATGGAAACTGAGACAGTCCTGAGAGAAGCGGGCAACAGGTTATCAAAAGTGAATCATTAAACTGATACATGTACTGGACATTGTCTGCCATCATGTTTTGTCTATCAAAACGTAACATTTCAGAAACTAGAGATGGAATTAGCTCCATTTAATGCGGCCAGCTGTATTGACTGTGGCAGAACTTGTGTTCCTATAACCAAAACAATATGATAAACAATGTTCAATATGTGTCAATTCTAGAACACAGTTGAGAAATTCATAAATTCAATCATTTTATGGTAGAATTATAATGTAACAATTTAGAAATTACTGAAGTTCCTTTTCTGTAATTTCATAAATTTCGTTTTTTGATGTCTCAAGAGTTGTAGCTCTCTGCTGTAAGTTATAATTATCCTGATATTTAGTCCAGTTTACTATGTTATGGAGATTACGAACCCTTGTTAGACACTTCTTCCTTTGGGCCAGAGGACTGGGTACTTTGAGTTTTTCTGTGAATTTCCCCATTCTCCCAGTTGAATGTTTAAATAACACCTTGAAGTAGACCATTGGTCCTCATCAAATTGTTACAAGCTGCAATGTATAATCAGATCTTCTTTAATACTGAAAATCTTTACAGTTGATACAGCTATATTAATTGAACTGAGCATGAATTATATGACATGTTTGCAGATGCCGTACTATGTGGTGGCAGACCATAAAACTGGCAGTATTGTCCTTGTGGTTCGTGGGTCCATTTCTATGCGTGACGTTTTCACAGATCTAAATGCAGGTGCGGAGAAGTTTGAAGCTGAAGGGCTTCCCCCCAACAGTATGGTGAGAATCATGTTGTAATTGTAGTTACTTAATCAGGGAGCGAAAGTAATCAAGTTTTGTGAAAATTAACATAAATCTGTTTTGTTCCCAGTTACATCTCTCATACAGTTTTGATTGAGTATCATATTATGTTACAGGTGCATATTTTTATAAATTGTTTTATGATTCCTGCACACATTTTTACATATTTTACTTGGTGTATTTGATTCATTTTAAGTTTTCTCAAAAAACAAGCAGGTTTGAGAATTGAGAAAAGTCTCATACGTGATGTAGAATGTAAGATTTCTTCCAAATGTTTTGTTTAAAAGTTTTAAAATAGAGATATATAAAGAAATTCCCATGCATTTAAAAGAATGAACTGCACTTCAGTGCTTAGTGTATCAAACTTTGTGCTCAGAAATTCATCTGCAGTTCTTAGAAATTACCAGAACTTGTTCTTTCTTTCTGTTTTTGGTAGTATTTTGCACAGAGTGCATAAACTGAACACACAAAAGAGACATCACATCTTGTTATTTTTTTGCTGAACTACTTGGCAGATTTTAGTGAAATATGGTATTGCAGATCTTCATTAAAAATTATCAAGCAAAACTAATTGTATGTAAAATTCAGATCATAGTTCATTAATTTTTTTTCAGATGTGACTCATCATTAGATACTGGATTTTAATGAAAATCCATATTTCTTTCTTGCAACCAAAACATAGGCTCATTTGGATATATATGCGTGAATTACTTCATTTCTTGAATTTTAGACATCATTTAATGATTTGTATAAATGAGTATTTTGACTGTTTTCTGAAAAAGCATAATATTTTCGGAGATGTCTATGTATAATTCATGCTGCATATTTTCTTTTTAAAATATTTACCATTTTATATATATATTTTTTAATTTTATGTTCAAATTTTCAGTCATTGTTGTGTGTATACAATTTTTCTTTTCCGTATTAGGATATGCTGCACATTTGACTCACAATATTTCGTCATACAAATAGCAAGTCGAGTCTGGAATCATGTTTCAGATGCAATACCCAGGACAGGACTTCCCCAGTCCCTCTACTCGTAACTTGCCTCACCTGCATACCATCAAAGTAGCTGCAGAGGGATTAGTCAGAACCGTATTCACATGTAACTGCTAGGAACCTAATATTATTCAACCAATAATGGACTTCACTTATTTATTTCTGAAGTATCCCTCAGGTTCGCTGCGCTTCTTCATTTGGAGCTGCGGGTCATTCATATTAGTGATGACTTGTCTGTGGTTACATTTGTTTACCTTTTTGTAGTCCTGCCGAAAGTGAAAGTAAGTCAGAAAGCTGTATCATCTGGAGTTTGAAGGAGATGATAAATACGGATAACAACAATCTTTATTGCGGAGCGTGTGAAAGAACGGTTATGAAAAACGCTTTCAAGTGCTGCAACATTTGAACATTAACATACATGAAGAGAATATTAAAATGAAATCCACAAAAAGTGCTCCTATTCAAGAACTGTTTAGTGAATTTTCTAATATTATATTTAAGCATCCTGTTGCACTTATATATCTTTAAAACACACATATATTCAGTCCTCAGTGCAACTATTTTCACTTTTATGTCTCCTCCTTACGACATGTTTCGGCCTAAGACAGCCATCATCAGGTGTTTTTTCTATGCCAAAACTCTTGCACTGTATAAAATGTATAAAATGTTCACTTGTTAATACACTCGAAAATGTAATGTTTCTTCTTTAATTTACTTCATCTACACTCGATATTTATTTGCATTGATTAATGTCATTCACTTTCTACTTCAATTTTGGTTTGAAATTTCTTAAAATCTCTTAAATTTGTGTAATTCTTGCACCTCTATTAGGGGCATTGTCCACTTGTCCAAATGATATAGTTCTATTTTAATCGTTTCTTGCATCCTGTTATGTGTTTAATTAATAGTAGAGTGAATTTACCGACTACACAACACGTTTTTTATTATCACTACATGTTTCGACCTCAAGAGGTCATCCTCAGGTGTATGAACACGGCTGTATAATTACACGCAGTCACATTCACTTTTCATTCATTCGACCCTGTATCTTTTCAAGATTTATGCTCACTAATATATCGAGTTCTTTTATAAAACACCGGTTAAATTTATTATTCTAATTTAATTCTTAAAAGTTCTATGTTGGGCATGGTGTTTGTGTGTTGCATACTGGTTGACTTTTACCATGCAGGACAGCATTATGTCTCAGAAGATAGAACTTTTTACAGAAATCTGTTTTGTCACAAGAAAAGAGGTTCATAAACCTCAGGAAGATAATATCAATTGTTGCTGAGCTTCCAGTTTCTACAGCAACTTCTGAAGAAGGAAAAAATAAGATAAACCATATAAAGGACATGCATAATGGTGGCTTAAACTGTATGCTAATGATAAAACTAATTGACCCTCTATTTGAACTGTTTCAACCACAATGCATATTGACCATTGGGACTGTGTTAGCTAAATAATATGCCTCATAAAGAGTCACAGGTGCCATTTTCAAGTATGTTGGGGTGTGCAGGAAAAATTAGTGCAAAACCTTAGTGGCAACTGGAGAGCAGAGGAGATGTAAATAAATTTTATTTAAGGTTTTATATATGTATAAGTTTATAAGCCATGTTTTCCTTTTTTCATTATTGACCCTTTTAAAATCAGGGTTTGGCTTATAAGTGGTTCTTTAAAAAGGTGGCCAGATTGTCTAGAGCCAGTAAAGGTGCAGTATATTCACACTGATCGTTACTTGTAGTGGTGAAGAAGTGAGGGTGTTAAACAGTTCAGTGATAGTAAAATAAGTGTTCATTGGAATTTACATCCAACTTGTTACATTGGGAAGAGTGAGAAATAAAGTTGAAAAGTATATAAAAAAAAATGTAAATGCATAAAATATGTTTTCATCTCAAGACCATGCAGTTTTGGGATTGTTGCTTATATTTGAGAGCAGATCATATTAAAGCAAACATGGCAAATTAAAATCTTATTCATGTTTTTTTAGAACAAAACACAAGAGTTATAACATTGAGATCCACAATGAATGACCATCTCATAGCACAGCTAGCTACAGTAACTATTCCCTTACAGAAATTTATACCACTCACCCATAGCAAATATAAAAATGTAAAATAAATAAACTACAAGTGGATGTTTTGAGACATGAAATTATATGAAACCAAAAGTAGGAGCACTGTATGTAAGAAAATATGTTCTGTTGTAGGCTCACAGAGGAATGTCAATTGGTGCACACTACATCAAGACAGACCTAGAAGACTTGGGAATATTGACCAAGGCTTTTCTTCTCTATCCACACTACAAACTTGCTATAACAGGTATGCTATATCAACATAGTTGTGAATTTCAAGAATGGTGAACACAAGTACAGTTTATCTGATTAATTAAAATGTAAAACATGTTGCATTCTGTTCCCCTCATTATAGAAGTCATAACTGGTACTTAATATTGTGGAGATTCCCATTTCAAATCCTGACCATAAGGTGGGTTATCCCACCTGAAGTATTTCATGATTTTCCTGAGACTCTCAAAACAAATTCAAGTGCAGCAGTTCTGAATGTATCCCTCTACATCTTGCCCAGCGTGTCCTTCATAGACTTCTTATCATTCCTTCTTTTACGTGATGCAACCTCTGCAGGTGATACAGCTCAGATTGACACATTGCACATTGGTCATATAGATAACATTCTTATTATCTGTTGTTCTTCATTACATAGCTGCTGCTCTGAGTTATTTATTGGCCAAAGATTATTAGCAACTGAAAGAGAGATGTAATTGATGCCTGATTGTAAACAAAGACCACTTTATGCCCTTAGGCACCATATGTATGCACAGCATTGCTACCATAATTTCCATTCAGTTCCCAAATTAAAATATAGCATGACAATTGTAATATATGTCCTTACATACCATAACTATGCAAACAAATTCTATCACTCGAGGCACTTGGTTCCAGAAAGATAGACCACTTTAAATCTGTGCTCTTAGGTAGTATAGCAGTGCAAGATAATGCATTAATTCTTTCTGCAATATCAGACGTGGGCTGATTTAGAAAAGTTGTAGCTGATGATGTTATTTTGTTGGAGCTGTATGTAGGTTGGTTTTATGATGTATCAAATGATGAAACGAGAGAAACAGAAACTTTGGACATTGATATAGCTACCGCTAGTTCAGGTGACTGCTTGTGACAGTGAATTGTGCAGGACAGATGAGGATGACAAACTTTCATTTAGAACAAGCATTCATTCTGGTGAAGAATTAGAAGGTATATGTGGCATAAAACTGAATTGAAAGGGAGTGATGAGATGTTTCTTGAGACCACGGGATTGAAAGTTTTTTGATAGCCTTGAAAATATTGTGGAAATGAACAATGCTGTAATTGGTGATGAACTTATACAACTGACCACTCAAACCTGTACCATAGGCACTTTGCTTACTGGTGGATAATATCGTCTGAAATATTAAAGTGGTCCAGTATTACCACTTCAGAAGTGCAAAAGTTTTAGGCCTGATAAATTTGAATGGGGTAGTTTAGGGAAGATTAGTGGGCTGCTGATCCCACAATATGCTTATCGATGTGCCCATATATATTGTGAGTATGAATCATTCTGAGGTCATGCGGCAAGCATGGCGCTGTAAAGACAGTGCCTATCATATACGAAGATTCAGGCCGACTTTTCAAAATTCAGGCTCTTTATGAATATGTATTTTGTCACAATTTCAGGCCAGTTTACAGTCCGCAAAGAGAACTCTCTCTGGATAAAGGCATAACCTCATTGAGCACCTGCCGAACATAAGCCGGAAGCATTATCGCTTGGGCCAACTTGCATGGTCAGGTTTTTGTTAAACAGTGTTTTCTGGCACCTGCAGTTATTGTCTGGTCTTCCTGCCATGGAAGGAACAGAGACTCTTGCTTGTGAGGGTGGGTTGCCCACACAGATACAGATATGGACTCAGACAGTGGTGAGGGCATGGAATTTCCTACATTCATTTGCCTGACGCTTTGTCATAAGTGAGGGAAGTGGAAGACATGCTTATCATCTGAACTCGTTCTCACTTGTCTTGAAATGATACCTTTGACTCAGCAGTCCAGCACCTTACCATTAAACCACAAGTTGTCGTTGTTAAAGACAGTTTCTTTTACAGTATCATTTTACACAGTTTCAAGGTATTGTGTGTGTTTGTGTGCTCATGAACGTGTGTGTGTATATGTAATAACTGGAATGACTTCTGTTGCGTAGGACACAGCCTTGGCGCTGCAGTGGCTGTCCTTGTAGGTTGCTTGATCCGCCCCAAGTACCCAGATCTGAGAGTATATGCACTGTGTTCTCCAGGTAAGAGGCATCTTCTGTAGCTGTTAGTTTAACTACAGTAAATCCTTCCTGAAGAAATACCTGAATTAAATGACAACCTGCCTCTTTCAGAATATTCTGAAAGTACACAGTGAAAAACAATACAAAATTCCTCTGCTAAAAGTAAAATATTTAATGTGGAAACAGAATGACAAAATAATTATTAAATATAAAATTGATTGTTAGGAAGGGCAATATTATGTCTTTGTTTATCTAATGACACTACCTAGATTGTATAATTTTGAATAACAGGATGATTATGAAAGATAAATTGTGGAATGAAGCTACCATGGTCTGCTTTAATTTACTGTCCCAACATTTACTTGAGAAGGAAGAGGAAGAAAAGAGCACCATTAAAGGGGAGTTTAAGGAAATAAATTGTGAGAATGTGAGCTGCATAAACTTGGCCCAGAATATACAAAGTATAACACTGGGATTCTGTGATATCAGTGATAAACATTTGCATTCTGTATCACCAATGGAGGTCTGCTTGACCATCCAAATGGCTTCCAAAGTGCCAAAGGAATATTATGGATCTAGAGTGAGTTCATGTGTTGGAGATAGGGTGGGGGGGGGATCAGTATAATTCTATCCACCAGGAAATAAAATTTATACCCCACAACCAAATTAACAACTGTCCTTATCTAGTTCTTGTTTATTGTGGTTACTTTCTACTGTCATACATTGGAACATTATGTGAGCCTCCAATAAGACAGATTATATGAAGACCGTGTTGTAATTGTGCATATCAAGTCTGGCAACATATTACAGAAAAAATAACATCTTCAAACACTGATATAATTTTAATGCAAAAATTGTATGCATTTATTCAATAATGATTACAGATTCATATAGAAATAGTACTTTATGCATTAAAGCCATAGTACATAATACAGTCTTGTAGTTGCACATACAGTGCCTTTAGGAGTGATTGGGAGTAGAAATAAGCAGTGATTTTGGCAGAAACATTCACTTGATAGTTTAGAATGTAGCCAGAATGTGACAACTGATTTTGCAATTTTCTACTCATTATGTGCGTAAGAGAGTTGTTGGGGGGTTCTGAATCTGACTGACAAACAACTACACTGTAACATGAGAAACATACCATTCCAGATGCAGAGATCTGCATTTAATTATGTAAATGAAAAGCAAGATGCTGAAGAAAAACTTCTGTATATTGCTCACAACAAATAAATCAAGCATGTAAAGGTAAATGATTGGCACTACAGCCCACCATCTTGTGCTGCTATAGCAGCTATCTTAACCTTTGGCACAAGATGGAGGTGAGAGGTTAGCTTCATGGCCTGGTAACTTTTTACCTATGGAAAGACTTCCTACAACCCTTTGGATAGGATTCTGGGTGGGCTCCAGATCTTGTCAGGATGTAGTGACAAAGAGAAAAATCTTTGCCCCCACTGGGAGTTGAAACCTGATTTGCTTGTCATGCAAGCCATGGCCTAGTTACTGTACTGACTGGTCTGCATGGTTCATATATTTCCCACTGTAGCATCATGATTCATTTGCAGCAGCTGTACTAAGTCGTGAAGCAGCACGCTACACCGAAGACTTCACATTCTGTGTTGGTGTTGGAGATGATTTTGTCATGCGGCTAAGCATTGACAGTGCTGAAGACCTGCGGACAAACCTGCACCATGTGCTTGAGGCTTCTCGACTACCAAAAGTAAAGTTCTTATATTAATGCTCTATTAAATTAGGATGTGTAATGAGGAAGATGATATATGTTTTTAAATTTCCATTGTGTATTAATCTGTGATGAGATGCGGAAACTTACTGTCATGACAAATCATAAGGAGAACCTACAGTGGAGTATACATCCAATTACATCAAATGCAAAGCATCCATTCTGCGGTATTTAACCTTTATCATCCAGGAATAGAATTATAAATCTTCTATCACTATTGCATTAGTGTCTGGATTTTAACTCTGGGGTAACATATTTTAAATCATCCAGTACTGTAGGTCTGATGATCATATTTTAAACTGGGGGTAATAATATTAGCATTGAACAGGAAGTCCTGGGAAGAACTAATTGCCTACTTTCCTTTCGCTGTAATTTCAGTATCTGATACGACAAGTCGAAAGAAAACTTTAGTGTGTATGCATAATGAAGTCAGCAAAACAATACAGTTTTGGACGCTTCAGTGTTGGTATTAGTGATGGGATTGATTTATGAAGTATAACACTGAAATGGCCTAAGATGGCATGATATACTTACAGAGTTTCATGAAGATTTGTTAGGGCATTCAGGTAATATTAAGGTTATTACCGTAATAATCAAGCTGAAGTGTATTACTAAGGGGAAGGATTTATGATATATACATCTGAGGTAATCTCAATGGTGTACCTAACAAATCCTGTGTGTACACACACACACACACACACACACACACCACATTAAACTATGATCAATTCAGGAATTCAAGTAATATTAAGGGTGTAACCTCAGCAGTTTGAGAGGCTGTAATGATGGTATTACTGATGAGAACGATTTATGATGTATGCAATTGAGATGGCTTCAGTAGCATGATATATACATACCAATTCTCATGCAGATTGATACAGGCGTTCAAGAAATATTAAGGTTTTGCCCCAGAAATTTGAGAGGCTGTAATGTTGGTATTACTGATGGGTGATTACGCTGTTGAGATGGGCTCAGATCACATGATATATATACCAAGTTTCATGAAGATTGGTTCAGGCATTCAAAAGTTGTTAAGGGGAATTCAAATACATACTCACAGACACACAGCAAGGTGATATAAACCTTTCATTTTTCCAAAATAAGGAAAGTATGATTCTGTATTTCAGATCCCGTTGCAATTGTTCAAATTAGCGTTCATTGTTTATCTTCCATCAAAATTGCAACACTTCAACACTACATGTTTCAGCCTCAAACGACAATTTTCAGGTGTTTTTATGTTACAGGTATTTTACTAAAACTGTGTTAAAAACTGCTACACTGTTTTAATTCATGTTAAAATCACATGCTGTAGTCTTCTTAAGTAAAACGAGATGAAATCCTTCAAAATTTCTGTTGCATATTATTTCACCTCAACCGGGGTGTCGTCATTTTCGTAAATGTAAGGAAAGTAGGCTAAAAAATGCAATTTTTGTCCAGCTAGATTGTGCACATGCATCACTGTAATAATGCAGTGTATAAGTAATAAAGGTTAATACACATCTTTTTAAAAGCATCATTTGAGATTTTGCACTTGGTGCTCATGATATCCATTTACTATATGAATTCTCTTGTTGACAAAATTTGTAACCATCAGACATATTACACTTCATGGAGACATAAATTATCTTTTGTTTTATTCTGTTAGAAGTCTGAACTGAAAGTTTTGCAGCTTAATGAACTTTTATATTGTCACTGAACTGAACAAGGAGCAGGGAGAGTGTGGTGCAACTTGACCATTGCATTCCCCCCTCTCAAAACCTCAGGAAACCCCATACCCCTTCCTTGTTCTTATTCTTTTCAGAAAAATGGATATTTGCTGCTTTCACTTTATGACCTGAACATTCCAAAAGTTATAACATGCAAAAAATTGTGGTTGCAAGGCAGTGTGTTTACAAGTATCTCCAACTTTTCTATTGTAAAATGAACGACTTATTTTATGCATAAATATTACTGTTATCAGCTTCCTAGGGTAAAATTCTAGTACATGGAGGCTTTCTGGCAGTGTCCCCCTGTGTCCCCACTTTTATATCAGCATATTCTCCTCACCACCAAGATGTGATTACACCATGGAGTGGAGCTGCATAATTAGCCTACACTGAATGAGGGTGAGGAGGGAGGGGATTAGGATTGGACAGTGGTGTAACTGAGTACAGTTTGGCTGTAAGGTACTGCCAGACATAGAAGTTTGCAAATATTTAAAGCAAGAACATGAAGTATATTCTTAGAAGTTTTGTGTTTCTCAGATTATAAGGTTCAGGAATTCATTTTAAAAACCCCAGAAGCCTTATCTTGGAAAACTTGTATTATTTATAAAAATGATTTTGGAATTATTTTTAAAAATTATGCAGAAACTTGTTTACAAAATTTGATGCCCATGTGCTCGTAGATATAACCCATGACATCACTGGCCAGTGTGTTCTGTAATACAGTTAGCCTACCATTGATCACAGGTAGATAAGACTCTGGAGAGCTCAAACAAAACTGCCTCTGTATACTAGAATTGAACTGTTTTGGAGATGCATAGTGTGATGGACAGACAGGCACTGTGATATAAATCATGTTTTATCAGTGGAAGTTATGGTTAAGTTATCATGGATGCTGTACACAAACTGAAGAAGACAGTATTGGTAAATGAAACTCAATGTGGAAGTGTTAAACCAAAAATATATTGTGGGATGTTAGTATATATATTATTATATTAAGACTTTATGAGAGATGCTTGCACAGACTCAGGAGTCCTTCACATTTTATGTTACTCCAGTACCGTATAATGCTGAATGGATTTGGATATGCTATGTTTGGAGTCCCAACACGTGACCTGGAGACAACATGGAAGAGTGAATGCACTACACCGCCAGCACCAGGTCATCTGCCCCTTCTGTTCAAACCTCTGGAACCCACTTCATGGAGCGTGAGTGTTAGCACTTGTATAACTGTGATGTTTTACTCTGGTTACATGAGGTACATGGGACACTATGCTTCTGGGATACACTAAAGTAGACAAATCCATATTAAAAATTTGCAGTTGTTAAATGCCTACAGTTTGAAACTTCTGAGGTGTCACAAGTTTGAAGTTGAATTAAATCTTAGATTATTGTATAAAGCTATATAAACTGCCTCGGGTGATATGCAAAGACTGTTATAAATCAACACATAAGTGCTGATTTGGTAGGTGGCAGTTGGGGTCTATTTGTAGATATTACAGCATTCCCATAGGCGGACTGATGTTGCCTTGCATAACTGTCACATGGACCGCAAAGAGAACACTTCTTCCCCGTTACTCCATTGGTGTGTGTGGCCATTACCTAGCATAATCCAATCCATTGTTTACAGTCATTACTTAGCAACAAGTCTACATGCTACAGTATGTTGCTTGTATCATTGCACCTGCTATGATTTATGTTTTCTCTCACTTGCCTATCATGTTTTAGTGCTGATTTTATTGAAGAGTATTTGTCAGTGATTAAAAGTATGAATATGACAGTGGCTGCATGAATAGCACTGAACTGGATGAATCACTGGTGATTGAAAGCCTCTAAATGCTGCAGTGGTTATTTATCCTTGTATGGTATGAAAGGTTGATGATGTTCACTGAACCTGAAAGGACTGGTTACAAAGCAGTTGTGGCCTGGGAGAGTGGAAGAGCTGAAGAAATTCACAAAAACTTCAAGATAGCAAAGCCATTCCAGATACATGTTGTAAGTGTTTTCATTTTGGCAAACTTACTTGGTAACTAAATGGCAAGCTTTGATAGAAGAAGTGTAAGGAATGCTGGGTTATAAGCAAAGGGGCCGTGATTCAGAGTGATATATTTAAAAGTTCAGGTATTTATCTACAAATGACTGTCATTGCATTTGTTTTGACTGGTAAGTATTCAGAACACAGATGGATAAGGACATTTCTGCATAATTGGTCTCTCTCATGTTATCATCATCATGACTTGCTTTGTGTGCAGGAGGTATCTGTTCTGGAGAAAGATGTGCCAGCTCGCCGTTTCTCTCGCACACGTCTCTTTTCACCAGGTCGCATCCTTCATATCACCTACAGGAAGAAGACTGGAGCAGACAAGTAAAAATTCACAGTATTTATCTGTATTTCTTTGCATGTCTCTTCCTGTGATTGGTGATCCATGAGCATAGTTAATTTGTTTGTCACATGAATATTTCTACTTTCTGGGACATTGCTCCACATAGTTGCTTCCACTCACTTCTAAACCACCTTCCTCTTCTTCTACNCTATATATGAAGTGTATACTGTCTAACATTTTAATTCTCTGCTCCAACTGAAAAGAAGTAAGCCAGTAAAGGTAGTTTACTTTTTCCAGCTAATTTTGAAACAGTGACTAAAAACATTGGAATAACTTGGCAGACCCAAAATGTGGCAGGAAAGAGTTGATATTATATTCTCATCTCCCTCTCAGCCTTGAGAGGGTGTAGAGGATTTCATACCAGAATTTATTATGCATTTTCGTGTTTCTCCCATCTCTGTTACAACATAACTTCAACCCATCGCAACTTCCTGGATTGAACCACCTGAATAATATCAAGTGGAAAGTACAAATCATAGAGTCCTTATCATGTAATTTCCTCCAATCCTCACTTAGTTCATTTACTTTACATACTGTCCTTTTGTCCTTAACTGATGCAGCATTCAGCAAAGAATCAATCTATGAAAGGCCATAATCCTTATTTTAGAATAAAATTATCATGCTCGGGCAATTGATGCCAGTTTCTCACTGCAGAGGCCCAGATTTTATAGTGTACAAAACGGCACTGACAGGCTCTTTGAGGAGTAGTTTGGTGTGTCTTGTCAGTCAAAATTACAGCAGTGAACCTTGTCATTACTGTCCCTGAAGTCTGTGAAAGAGCCAACTAGCCAACACAATATCACAATCTTATTCCATGTTTTGGGTTTCAGCTTTGACCTGAGTAGCTGACAATGAAAGTAAAGAAGCTGCATTTTGCCAGATTGCAGTTGTGAAATATTTTTTCTCTGATCACACAGGAAGTCTGGAGTTGGGGGATCCAAGTTTGCAGTGCGCTGGGCAGTCGCTGAGGACTTCATGCAGCTTGCAGTAATGCCACGCATGATTCTTGACCACCTGCCTGAGAATGTAGAGAAGGTGCTGGACACCATCTTGAAGGAGCAGCGAGAACTGGAGCACCATCGGCAACACCATTCATCATGACACAGATGGATAGTACAATACTTCAACTCACCTTTCTGTGAAACCTGTGTTTGTAACTGTCCATACTGCATTAGTACGTGGGAATTGAGAGTAGACTTTGACCAGTATTGCTACAGGGTTCTGCATTACATGTGAGATACAGACATGAGTTTTGAAACATTGTAGTTCATAGCAACAATAACAGTTACACACACAAACAATGAATTTAACAACTTGAGAGTGAATCAGGAAAGACTGAACATATAAGAAATAAAGGGATGAAAACTAAAGGTACTGAGAACCTGCGGACAATTGGTAGTCAGCTGTGAAATAATTCTGGACCTACTGTCATAACTCACATGAAGTATACTCTGCTTTAAGATCTCAGAAGTGTGGAGAGCTTGGGGAATATAGTGCCTTGTGGTTTTACATTGGATACACAGTTCCTTGGAAATAGTAATACCCTATAATTTATTTGTTATGCTTAATCAGGGAGATTATTTCCAAATTGCATGTGTTTTGTCATCCCCATTTCCACCATGTCAGAGAAGAAATAGTCTTCAAATTTTGTAGAGCTTTCTGCAGGTGTCTTGAATCATGCTCTAAGATTCGCTTAGATGGAACCGGAAGCTGAAGTGTGGTTGATAAATTGTCAGGCATTCTTCATGTAAAATAACGGGTTAAGTGGTGTTGCCAATCCATCCAATTATCCATATATTCATTAGCCCATCTATCCTGCCACAGGCCCACACATGAGGCTACCCAGCATTCTATCCATCTGTCCAGTTGCTGTCCCACTTTATGTAATGTTACATGTAAAGAACACTTAAAAAATCTGCATATGTAAGATGAAGGGTGTGTTAAATTTGATTTTTCTATGGTGCACAAAAATCATGGAAATCAGTATTTCTCAGTCTGCAGCCTTCTTCAGAACATGTCGCTTTCTCCATGTGCTCATCATTACCAACACAAAAGGAATAAGGAATATTAGCTTATATTTACTGTTGGAAAAGCATTAGAATGAATGGGATTGTAACTATATTTGTGAATCACACATTCCCAGTGGTCTGCAAACCACAATTTAATGACCATTGTCTTTTGGCATGGTTTTTTATTTTTCGTTATTGTGACTCAATTGTTTTATAAGTCTGAAATGAAAGACAAATAAAGAGGTTATTTAATTTTTTAGATAAATTTATTTCTGATATTGTGAAAATAAATGTTAAACTATTCATAATTATGCTTACCAGTTCATGTTGTTGTTGACTATCCTATGGTAAGTAACTAACCAATACTTTAACAATATAAAACCATTAACTGAAAGAGCCTACAACTGGATCCATTCCTGATTAATTTCAATCGAATCTTTGTTACTGATATTGCAATCTTACCATCTCTGAGATCAGTCTCAGTGTTGTTCCTGTATTCTGCATTTGTCTTTCAGTTTTCTGTTCTCCAAAATGTCTGTGCATCAGGATGCTTTATACACTTATTATTGTACCTCATTATAACTACCACCTTGATATGACTATCATAACAGTACAAGGATTCTACAGAGATACCCACCACAACACTCCATCATTTCGCCTTACACTTTATCTTCATATACAGCATCTGTGATTTATATTATTGCCTGTCTAAAAATAAAACACATTAGTTGAGCTATGACACATGGTTCAAAGCTTATACTTTAAATCTTGGCCAGAGTGCTCATGAGAATCATTGTCAAACTAAATGCCAGTATGGTGCCTTTAAATTTGCCAACACTGCTCCTTTCAAGCCCTCTGTGATGTAGTATAGTATATGTAGTTGATACAGCATTGAATTAGTTTATAAATTATTATCTCATAATTATGTGGTTGGGGTAAGGTATAATTGTTTCTGTGCTTAAAGACCTATGCCATGAAGACGTATGGGAAAGTGGATGTATACATCCACATTTTCTGGACTTAAGAGATTTATCATCATTGGCATTCAACTTTCAACTTGCCAATATCATAATCATCATCCTAGTCAGACCTAAATAAATTTGTGCCTACAGGTCACTGTAGTGCTTATAAATTTACATGGTGACAAATTAAAGTTACTGTCACAGCATGTGGCTTGTTAAAGATAACATACAATATTCTGCTTTTTATCTTTGTCTCCTTGCCAACTTTATTCCCTATTCCTTCCAAAACAATTTCGTCATTTATTTCCACCAGCAAAGCGACTGTCAGCTTCCCGATGAGTGCTTTATGCATTAGAATCGATTTGGACAATCTTCAACCCCCTATGCTGCAACTGCTGGTAACCAAATTCGAAACAAAGCAAAAAGTTTACAGTATCACTACTAGATGGCAGAAGACGTCCAACCGCTAGTACGGAAATTGATCGGTGACTCTTATGTGGCTCCAGCAGCTCCAGTATCAAATGCGGATCAAATAGGCATTAGTGGGATGTGTTTGGCTCGCTTAAAGTAAAGTGTTTGATTAGTTATTACCTTACACCCCTATTTTTCTTTGTTGCATTAAGTACGAAACGTCAAACGTGTATAGGATATGTCAGTGTATTACTAAAGTAAGCCCGTTTTGTCACATTCTGAGCCTGGTTTTAAACGAGAAGGGAGTCTAATCTGTGAAGCACACCGAAAAGTTATTTTATTCAATTTGATTTTCTGAGGTTTCGGTATGCTGAGATAAGGCTGTCTTCCTACATTGTTATGAACCGTATAACGTAATGTGCCAGAAGTAATTTCCTGGTTCCACAAGCGTTCAAGACATTTTGTAAGTACTTACTGCTTTCATTATTGAACTGGAAATAGAAATTTTATTAGAGTGTACTAGTAAATAAACGGGGCGATTCCAAATCCTACTGTATAATCAAACTCAGGAAGTTGCTATGGAAGTAATTAGGGTAGAAAACGTAAATAAATTGTTCGAGTTATCACCCTTTCCGGGTTATGAGGGTCCGCGACTTTTTGGGAAAATTTATGTATTTGTACATGTATACCTTTGGATAATATGTGTTATTGCCGTCTATAGAGCTCCTTCTGGTAACTTTCAGCATTTTTTTCAAAACCTTGACGAACTTTTGGATATGATTTTTGCCCACACTGAAGATATAATAATATGTGGTGATAACATCAACTATCTTAATGATTCTCTCCACAAACAGCAGCTAGACTCATTACTAGCCTCTCATGGACTGTATAGTATAATCCAGTTTCCTACTAGATTAAAAAAAAAAATCTTATTGTAAATTTGATAATATTTTTATTAATACATACAAGTTTACAAATTTTACTGTATATCCCATCATAAATGGTCTCTCTGATCATGATGCCCAGAACCTAATAATACATAATATATTTAAACAAAAACATTAAAAAAGTTACTACTATATACGGGAAATAAATGAGGTTTCAAGTGCTACTTTTAATAACAAATTAAGTTATGAGTCATGGGAAGATGTAATTAATGAAAAAGATATAAATACCGCCTTTAACATTTTCCCAAATATATACTAAACAATATTTCACTCTAGTTTCATACTAAAGAAAGTTCATACCCACCCTGCCAGTAAATCCTGGCTATCGCCTGGAATCAGGATTCATGTATGAACAAAAAAAACTATTTAGTTCAAAGAAATGGTGATGATATAAATTTAATTAAGTTTTATAAGAAATACTGTAAAATTTTAATTCCTGTTATCAGACTTGCAAAAAAAAAATAACAATAATATCATAACTTGTTCAAATAATAAAATTGCAACTGTGTGGAATATTGTAAAGAGTACTTCGAACATAAAACCTAATGTACCCAACATAAGTACTATAAGGGTAAACAGTGATTTATCCTCAGATTCTCAGATTATCGCTGAGGAATTTAATAAATATTTCGTATCAGCTGTTCAAAATAATTGCTCAGCTAATGTCACTTCTAACCATGAAAATCCTATATCTTATCTATCTAGGGCACGTAATTAACCTTTTCCCCTTATTGCATTAAAATGTATATCGTCAAAGGAAATAGAAGATATTATAAAATCCTTGAAAACAAAAAATTCATATGGATATGATGGGATATCCACTAGAATTTTAAAAGTTAGCAGTCCCTATATTTCTTCTTCTCTAACTTATTTGTGTAATAGAATGTTAACAACTGGCAATTTTCCACTAAGATTAAAGTTTTCTGAAATAAAGCCCATATATAAAAAAGGTGATAAAAGTAACCATATGACTACAGACCTATTTCACTGCTCACATCAATTTCTAAGATCTTTGTAAAAGTAATATATAATAGGATGCAATGACATATCAAGAATAATAATATTCTTGCCAATAAACAGTTTGGATTTAGACATGCATTATCGACAGATGGTGCAGCCTACTATCTTATTAATAATATCCTGACTGCTTTAAATAAAAAAGAATTTGTGGGCAGTGTTTTTTGTGATCTTCACAAGGCCTTTGATTGTGTCAACTATGATATTCTGCTTTTAAAGTTGGAACATTACGGGATTAAGGGAAGAGCGAACGATGTAATTAAATACTGTTTATTAGATAGATAGCACAGAGTAATCGTTGTCTCTGACTCAATTAAATTCTACTCTAAATGGGAGCCTGTAACCATTGGAGTCCCTCAAGGATCCATACTTGGTCCCCTGCTTTTCCTTCTATATGTCAATGATTTGCCTAATGCCATATCTGAGGTATCCAATCCAGTCTTGTTTGCGGATGATACAAGTCTAATAATTACTAATCCTGATACCCCAAGATTTGAAAAAGATATAAATATAGTTTTAGAAAAATTAAATAAATAGTTTAGTAGTAATTTGTTACTACTGAATCTTACAAAAACTTATTTTCTACAATTTGTAACTAAAAACACAGGAGCTCCTGATTTACATATACTATGTGAGAAAAAACAAATAACCAGTGTGAATGTTAAAGAATTTTTAGGTTTGGTTATTGATCATAAATTATCATGGCAAACCCATATTGACCAAATGATACCCAAACTAAATAAGGCATCCTATGTAATTAGAGTATTAAAACCTATTTTATCATTGGCGTGCCTAAAAACTGTTTATTTCTCCCCAGTTCATTCAATAATATCTTATGGTATAATATTCTGGGGAAGTTCAGCCCATGCAAAAATCATATTTCAAATACAGAAAAGAATAATAAGAATTATTACCAATTCTCGTAATGTGGACTCGTGCCATAATTTATTTAAGGAACTACATATGCTGCCACTTCAGTCGCAATATATATTTTCCTTGCTTATGCTGGTTGTCAAGAATAGAGATTGCTATATAACAAACTCTGATGTCCACAAACGTAATACCAGATTTACTCATGACTTGCATCTTCCAGTGGTACGCTTAACGATATTTCAGAAAGGTGGATGGTATTCCAGTATCAAACTTTATAACCACCTCCCTCCAGAGCTTAAACAATTATCCTATGACATCCCTGAATTTAAAGTGGCGTTAAAGAAGTCTCTTATCACCAATTCCTTTTACACCGCTGAAGAGTACTACTGCTGGAATAAAGATTGATCCCTCATGTATATTTAAATAAACACTGTTGCCTATTGCTAGGATGCAACGGACTGTGGAATAAAATACACAGGAAAAAGGTACTATTACTGTTGTGATATAGGTGTATTATATATTAAGAAATTAGATTTTATATGACTATATTAAAGAGTCTTGGTGGTCTCTTGATCATGTATGTAATTTTATGTTATTTTGATATATGGAATGTATTGTTGTACAGTAGTCTTGTTGTATTGAGTATTTAAAATTTTGACGATGATGACTATCTGATTGTGTATGTATATCCATATGTTAAATTGTATTGCTGACTTGTTCTATATCTGAGGCAGATGCCTCCATGGATTTTGTAGAACTGTAAATAAATGAATGAATGAACTTACATTTAATGTGTGTTATTTTTAATTACAGTGAATGAAATGCAAAGATTCATGGGGTTTTAGCTCCTTGTGGTTTGGATTTTACATTATGTTTAACACAAAAGTCTGATTATTTAGTGGATACACAGTCTTCTGTATTTCTCTTCTAGAATTGCTAGAATGGGTAGAGAGCCCTTTTGTTTTGTAACTGTTGTTTCAAAATAACTTAATTGTGATGTGGCTGTAAGATGATTCTCTTATCCAGTAAGTGCTGGGGAATTTCCCCAGGGGTGAAGCAGCCAGAGCCACTAACCTGCATTTAGTGTTGAGGTCAAGAATGGTGGAAATATACCTCCACTTTCCCATGCATCTTCATGATGTGCATAGTTAATTAAACACACGGACAACTTTACCTTTTACTTTCACCTATATGGCCATAAGGTGAGAAAGTATGTGTTGTCGTCAAAAGAACCAGCACTCTGACTGAGCAGATTGTCCCAGTTGCCTGGGGTTGTTCTCATTCCTGGAAGTCATCTCCTAGGATTTATCAGAGTACATCAGACAAGATCCAGCCCATGGCAGAACCCCCAGATCTTCACCAACTAAATACCTCCATGATGTAAGATATTTCTTGAAAAGTTGATGGATAGTCAGCTGTTCAACAAATTCCCCATGTCAATGGAACGTGAAGGTTCAGTACTGTGGTCACAGAAGCCTGACATTGGACTCCACCTGAGTGAGCTGAATTCATGTTCATATTTTGAGGCTCCAGTATCTAAGCACCGTGCCAAGAGGGCATGTAGTGGACATGGATGTAAAGCTCCATGCAGTTTAGATCTTTGCAGCAGGTGGAGACACGAAGTTGAGCCCCATGCTCTGAGTGCTTTATCCTAAGGAGTGGTAACTATGCGGGTACCTGTGGTGCAAATGTGGTGTGTCCCAGAGCCAGTTTCAATGCTGTTGAGGACTAACTATCTTGCAACTGCCACCAATTGAATGCAGGTCATCCAGCCTATAGCTGTGTCCTTTATTAGTTGAGCTGCCCTGACTCAGATGAGGCCTGTTAAATTATTAGTTAATTAAAATCTGTAAAGTGATTTGGGGGATAAAAAAGACAACACTTAGATTCAAGACAGAGTACAAATAAAATAATATTAAAGTGTATTCAGGTTTGAAGTAGACAGTTCTGCCATTTGAATTGCAACTTCAATAATGGTCAGATGAAGAGGAACCGGCCATGTGGATGGTCATGGCCTTCCTCTGAGGCATGTACTCAGCCATACATCTGGTAGCAGTAGTAATGTCTTTGTTCCAGGAACCAGGATGGATCAACTTCTGAAGGAAGCACTAGGGACAGTCACCTTGAAGAAAACGGGGAAAGGAGGTGGTGGGTGCATAAATGAAGGAGAAGCGTATCTCATTGACACAGGGACTGTCTTTGTGAAGTACAACAAGAAGTCACAGGTAAATCAAGATTCCTGGAAACTTTTGCTTTAGTTCAAACTGCCAGAATAAAAATGGTCTAAGATAGCACCATCTCTATAATAACTGGCTTCAAGCCGGGCGACAAGAAAACTTGGCTTTGATTCCTGGCATCAGTAAGAGGTATTTCTCTTTTTCATGGTGTGCAGACCAGTTCTGGGATCCTCTCAGCCTTCTGTCCAATAGGTACATGGGTTAGAGCAGCAAGGGGGTGATGCTGACTGCTGACCTTCATCCTATGTATGGAGCTATACCTCAGCTGCTTGTATATCTTAATGCTCTTTTGTTTAGTTACACCCAAGCACAACTTTTGCATGCAAGAATAAAGTTAGGAATATTGAGGCAGTCATTTTATATGGGGCGGGGACGCTTAGTTGGTGGCTGCATGAGTTCTGTATGTAGTTGATTGTGATGATTAATGAACCAAAGGAGCTAGGCCTTAAAATTTTGATATGGAGATAGATCATAAACACATACATGTAAATTCTATATGAAATGTTATTTGTAAGTGAATGATTCCAACATGGTGATGGTACCAAATTTTGAGGTTATGTCCAACAAATTAAACATAAACAGAATCTGTGCCTAAGTAAGAAGACCTTCCAGAAAGTTGTTGCTGATGATAGCTAAAATATTCACAGTTAAAAGCAATAAATAAATAGTGTTGATTCGGATATGAATCGTTCTTGTGACCATGTAATCTCAGATCCAGCACACTAACTCATGGGCTAAATTATGTTTTGTCGAATTGTAAATCTGCGTTACTTAAATAAGACATTAGCAGCTACAGGTTTTTAGTTCTAGAAGTCTGCAGTAGGGAAGTGGGCTGTATAAGATCTATCCAGAACTCTTTATTGTTACCATGTCCATGCTGGCTCTGGATCTCAGACAGCCTCCTGTCCAGTGGGTACAGGAAGCTCATTTTTCCAGGAGTAAAGTAGCTAGATCATGAAGTGCACCAGTCACCAATGTCATAGTTCCCCTAAATGTATGCATGATGTGGTTCTTAAGCTTAGGGGCCACTTGGCACTTTTTATTGAATATACGAGGGTTGGAACTTTAATAGTGGCAACTAGTTATTTACAACTGATACAACGTAGATGCATGTTTCGAAGTTTTACTGTCCTTCAGTGTAGTCACCAGCATTGTGTACAACCTGTTGCCAGCGATGTAGAAGTCATAGGATACCTTTAGCAGCGCCTGTTGTGTTGATAGTTCAAATGGAGCAGTCTACTAACTGCAGGATCTCTGGAACAGTTCTGAAGCGAATGCCACGAAGTGGTTCCTTCATCTTAGGAATCAAGTTGAAGTCACAGGGGCTTAAGTCTGGGGAGTATGGTGGATGGTACAGCACTTCCCAGCCCCATCGATCGAACAAATCAGCCACAGCTTGCCGTTTCTGCATTTCTGTCAAATCATGCAGAACCCGTCGTGATGCAATTTTTCTCATGCGCAGGCGTTCCTTCAGAATGTGAAGCACAGTTGTATGCGCTAATCCTATCTCTCGGGCCAGCTCATGAATCATATGGCATCCATCACTCTCCAGTAACGCAGAAAGAGCATACACTTCTTCTTCACTGGCGCTAGGATGACCTGGCTGACGCATGTCTGCCACATTTTGGTGTCCCTCATTGAAGGCTTTTTACCCACCTTGCCACTGTTCTGTAAGGCAATACAGATTCCCCACAAGCCTTTTGAAGACCTTGATGACACTGTCATGCTGTATGGCCTCTGACACATTCAGTCTTTATCCAAATCCATTGTTCCTGTTTCGAAAACATCGTCACAACCCTACATTATACCAGCAGCTAACATGAGGCTCTGTTCTTCTCGTCACTGTGCATGAGCATGATGTGGGAAGGGAGAGTCCATTTGCTCTCAGGTAAGGTAGGTATGTAACTAACGTGCGGTATAATCGACATTATTTGGTTCCGTTGCATGGTGTCTCTACAACAGTGTTGCCACTATTAAAGTTCCAACCCTCGTAGGTAAGGTAAAGGTAAAGTTGTCCCTGTGCTTTAATTAATTAAGCACCACACCATGAAGATGTATGGGGAAATGGAGGTATAGCTCCACTATTCTTGACCTTGGCACCATATGGAGATGAGTGGTCAGCTTCACACCCAAACCACTTCACTATCCCTGTGTGGGATAGGTACCAGTCTCGATGCTGTGGAATAGAAATAAATCTTGGCTATCCCATCCATAGCCTGTCAGTACACCAACTGAACTATCCCAGCTATACGAGTGAGTCAGTGAGGCAGTTATTTGGACATTCAGACCATTTACCTGTGCCCCATGTAAGACTCACTTCTGTTCTAGGCACGGGAAATGTTTGATGGTGAAAGTGACTCTTTGAAAGCCATAGCTGCAACGCACACACTACGCGTTCCAAAACCACTTCATGTACTGGATAACCCTGAGGGGGGAGCCATTCTGGTGTTGGAGTATCTGGACATGAAGGGTCTGACCCGCTATTCCCGTCAGCTTGGAGAGGAGTTGGCCAGAATGCACCTGCACAATTTGGCACTGGGAAAGAAACAGAAAGAACAGGAGAGCTATGTCGGGGGACAGGGAACTGAAAGTGAGAATGAAGATGAAGACAAGCCAGTGTTCATAAGTCAGTTTGGCTTTCATACTACAACTTGCTGTGGGTATCTGCCCCAGGACAACACATTCTGCGATGACTGGCCGGTAAGCATTTGTGTCATTAAATCTGGAAGCTGTAAATTTCATATACTGGCAACTAAATTGTTTGACTCTGGATTCATTGGGGTGTGGTGTTTCACACGCCTGCTTTGTATTTGCTAGGTTCTCAGTTTCAGTCTTGGCCAGGAAGGTTGTCTGCAGGATTGATGTTTTCTTAGTTCTTCCAACTAAATATCCTGATAGTAACTTAATATAAGCCATTACCACTTCCAATCCTTCCCAGCTTATCATCCATAATAATGATTTGATTTCTTATTCTACAGTGTGGCCATTACATTTGACACAATATTGTTAATGAGAAGGAGGAGGAGGATGGATGGATAAATTAATGCATTGATGTACAGTAAAACTTGGTTATAGCAACATCGGTTTCTGCGACACCTTGTCTATTGCGTCAATATTCAATGGTAACTGTTTTTATACCTTGCTTAGTACGACATGCACAAATGCATCAACCTCGTATGTAACGTCATTTTCATTCCTCAATTTCTCTGATATGGACATTGAACGTAATTTAGAAAGTGTATATTGGGCAAGTAACATGAAACAGATGAAGATAACTGATTACTGTACTCGTATCTAGGTATAGTAAGGCACAACAGTTGATGTAATCTACTGTAATTTGGTGAGTAGTCCTACCTTTAATATACAGTATTAGTGCGGTGTGTATTGTCAGTGAAAAGCGCTGTAATATGTCTTTGATATTACACATTTGGGCAATTCCACGTTAATGTTACGTTAATCTGTACTTAACTACGTATTTCACTAAAAAATGCAACATTTTAACTCGGTTTTTGGTAGATTTTTACGTGACTAACATAAGGCTACTGTGGAAGTGCCCATTTCGGTTACAACGACATTCATTTATAACGACACTATTTTTAGGTCCCTTTGATGACGTTATAACCAAGTTCTACTGTATTTTCTTTTGTTGTATTGCACATGTGAATGTAAGGATTCTTAAAATGTTATCTCAGTGTAGTAAGATTTGAGGTTCTTATATCCATGACTGTGAAGAGTACTACGTATTTTCATGGGTGTGACACTGTGCCTGCCAGACATATTTTGATGCAAGTTTTACATTTTATTGAAGAGATCTGAGTTGGATCTAGACATTTAAAAATTTTAACATGCTTCTCTGAAACTTGTCAGGTATAATTTTTATGTATTTGTTTGTTCATTTATATGTGGTTTATTTAACACAGACTGCCTCTGTGGTCTAGTGATCAGAGTTCCTGGCTACAGATCCAAAGGGCTGGGTTTGATTCCTGGTGCTACCAGATTTTCTGGGAAGTAGTGGGTCTGGAATGGGGTCCACTCAGCCTCGCGAGGATAACTGAGGAGTCATTTCAAGGAAATAGCGGTTCCGGTCTAGAAAACTGAAATTAACAGCTGTGGGGGTTCGCTGCACTGACCACGCGACACCCTCTATCCACTAAAGTTGGCACTAACTTCAACAAGCGGCGGTCGCTCTGTCGGTATAGTTCGCTTGCAGACTAAAACCACGGAGTTTTTCTTTTAACAATGCTTCCAGTATCTTAGATTGTGTAGTTATAAATGACAGGATTATCGCTGAGTAGTGAGCTGGAAAGGATGTTTAACAAAGTGATATTGCCCTAATTTGACGTACTACAGGATTTCAGATACCTGCATCTTGGGAACTAAAACAAATATGAGTGTGTTATTTGCAGTATTTATTCATCGTTTAAAACAGTTCTTTTCCACACAAATGGAAAAGTTGTTAGGTGTGAAACATTTCGCAGTGAGTGCCATCTGCAAGTACCAACATTGTCATATCTGTTTTCATTCTTGAATTGCAGATGTTTGAAGTCCCTGCATTTTTTGGTAGACCCTGTACCTTGATAGTTGCCTGAAAGAACCAAGAAAGACCACAGGAAGCCCCAGTCAGGATGGCAATCTCCAGACCAGAATTTAAAGCCCAAACATGAAACACTTCATTATAGCTTTCTTCACCCTGTGAGTGTTCACTCAGAGCTCGTCACATAGAGCTTATAGTGATGGCCTATAAAAAGAGAGAGAAATAGTTCATTCAGAATAAATTTGGGTAGAAAATTTTATGTGAAATGTTTGTACACTGACTTCACTTTTTATGAATGCTTAGTTTGCCCTTTCTGAATGTCAGTGTAACATTGAGAGTGTATATTTTCTTTTGCAGCTGGATGGCAGCATGTGACATTTCTTCCTTATTTCTGTGGTCACATGATCAAATGCCTCAGTGATCTTTTCAGTGCATTTGCTAAGCAAGTGCTGCCATCTGCTAAATTATTTTTGTAACATTTTGTCAAATTATTCAGTATTACACATACACAAGTTAGTTCGGAGCAAAATGGATGAAATGTCCTGTGTAGGGAGAAGGTTGATCAGTTTTTGTATTAATGCCTTAAAAATTAATGGCCCCTTTGCCTTCTCATATAGATTTTATGAGAAAACATTACACTCATAAAGAAAATTGTTCATAAGATTTTGACAGGTTTAAACCTTTTCAGTCCTCCTGAATATGAAAAAGTGGCGTCCATTGTTGAAGTGTAGAATGTAAAAGTGTTGCAGTTTTGACGGAAGATAAACAGTGGACGCTAATTTGAACAATTGAAATGGGATGCTGAAATACAGAATTATGAAAAAGTGCTTTTTGGAATGCTGTCTGTCTGTCTGTGCATCATGCTAGCAGGTGAATGGTTAGATGAATATATTATTATTTGGTATTTAAGAGTTTCTCCTACATAGGTTGGTGCTCAGTAAATTTTAATATTTCAGCTCTGAAAAATAGTGGGCCCTGCAGATGTGCCCTGAAAGACAAAATTGTGATTTTCTCAAAAATTAATTTGATTGCACTTCAGTATCTTATGAGGCCATCTCCCTAAATAAAACTATGTGTGTTTAGTATCTTCAGGAAAGTGATGGTATGCCCTTTAGGAGTTATGGTGCATCAAGCGTATGTACGCACCTATATGCAGTTTCTTTGTACCAGTTTTTCATTGTACATAATGTTTTCCCTTAAAATAGAAGCATGCCAAGCCGAACCTCAGCCTTCAGCTATTGCTGTCGAGGGAATCATCACCTGTGTGGCTTTGTTTTTTTCTTCCATTTTTGTTTCTTTTTCCTTTTATGTAGTTTCCTTTGATTATGAACACATGCATACACCTATATTTCTTCGATCACCTTTACCGTTATGTGTATACAGCATGGGACCGTGGTGCTCATATTTCAAGAGGCCCTCTTCTAATTATTGCTGTTTGTGCAGGCTCACAGGACATTTTGTGTATAATGGGGATGTGAGGAATTGGGAACTGAAAGTAAAGAATTAACTGTAGATATACCTCTTTTAATAAAAAAAAATAAGTTAACACCGGAGGGCCATAGAGCAGCTGTGTCATGGCACCCAACTTAATGTAGCTTTGGGTGTGTCTGTGTATTTGTATGGACTGCCTCACAACACTGTCTCTAATTAGTGTTAATTAATTTTTGCTTAAAAGTGACTTTCAAATTCAGTTCATGTAACAACAGGTTATGGAAAGAGATTAGTTTTTTGTATGTCTTGTATGTTATTTAAATATCAGTACATGTACGTGCATTTCAGCTGTCCTCGAGATACTGGAATTTTTTTTTCTAATGCTTATATCAATCATGATATCCAGAATGTGTGTAATATGAGCGTTCATGTACTTGTTCACCATTTACGAATCAGCTTTACGAAATTAAGAATGTAATGGCATCATTCAGGTTTACAACAAACATGATATGTAATCTTGTGATTATAACTTTGGTGACATGTTTATCATGTGATCGTTAAATTTTATTTGTCTGACAGACTTATGCAGTGAACTAAGGAATGGCCTGAAGAAAGCAGTCTTCATAGTCACCACCGTGAAAGCCTCAAGTCTTACATAAGGAATGGCCTGTTATAAATGAACTGCATCTGACTCACGTCAGTTTTGTCTTGTATGTATGACCTTTAATAATTATTTTCTTGCTTTGCAGACTTTCTATGCAAGACAAAGGCTTGAGCACCAATTGAAATTGATAGAAAAAGATGTAAGTAATGATGGAACTTGTTAATTCTTTCACTGCTGAGTAATTAAGTGCCCAACCATACATGCTTATTCCTTAAATATGGATATCAAGAGGATTTTTTTATTATTATTATTTTATGATGCTCTCAGCATGTAGACTGTGTAGGATCAAATGACAGGATTAAAGATGAATTGGAAAAGTTGCGCCAGGAAGCTGTCATGGCATGATTGAGGTACTGTTCCATCATTTGCTTGGAGAGAATGGGGAAAACCATGAAATCATGAGTCAGTCATGAACAACAAATTGGCTCAAGGAATAATGCTTCAGGTGCCTCAGCTGACTCATGGCTGGGACACCAACCATCCTTACCTAGGTTCTCTGTTGTTCCTCTCAGGCTAATCCAGAAAAATATTGGAATACTACCTTCAATTAGACCATCACCATTTCCTTCCATATTCATTCCAGTTCATCATTCATTATTTAATCATTCGGTGCATTGTACTTTGAGGTAATGACAGCATCATTAAATAAACCTCAAACAGAACAAACATTTTTATAAACCTACAAGATCTACTCCTTAAGTTAAAGACCCTGCTCTTAGCTAATTAAGCACTGCACCATAAAGACACATTTATGTGTGAATGTATAGCTCCATATATTCCTTACCATGGCTCTAGTTGGAGATGAATGTTTTCACTTCCCGCCCACTTTACCCTGAGGGAAGAGCCCCCCAACACCCATTGGATAGAAAGCTAGGTGGGCCCCATAGCTGGTCTGGATGACATGAAGAGGAGAAAAATCTTGTCCCTGCTGGGACTCAAACTCTGACCTCTCAGATGTCCAGCCCATAGCCAGTTGCTATACTGACTGCACTTTCAGGGCTTTCAGATCTACCCTTTTGTACCCCTAAAATGCACTGTAGTGGCATGTGCTTCAAATATATTATCATACTGATTTTCTGAGGCTTGATGTATTTAGGAGTACAGGTTACAAGTTTCTTTCAGTATGGTGACAAGGAAGCAAGAGAACTCTGGTCCAGGCTTCAGCACAAAGTTTCAGACTTCTTTAAGGACCTGACCATAGAACCATCACTGTTACATGGAGATCTGTGGGGCGGAAATGTGGCAGAATCAACTACTGGACCAGGCAAGATTATGTTCATATTCTAATAAAATATTAAAAGAGTGATGGTTCTTCCCTGTAGTAGGCCTAGTTCTTACAGAATGGCATCCTTTCATCCTTAGTGTCATCTTGTGTGCTGATATTTTATAATTATTTATCAAAGTGGGGCTCCAGAAATATGCTTGCCAGTTTCCATGGGCAAAACCCATGGTTAGTACATTTTTACTTTTGATCTATACACATCAGGAGATAGATCTGTTGGTGTGTTCAGTTTGCTGTATGAATCTCAGGGTTGTCAAATCACTGGATGCTATGAACCTAATGGAACAGAAGTGGAGGTTAGCAGTGAAACCATATGCTCCGAATGATATCTGTGATACATATGAGGAGCATACTGCAGGATATTGTTCTAGATAAAGCAATGGGCGAGTGGTACTGTGTAACTTAGAAAAGACACAGTCAAAGACAAAACAGCCTTCATGTAACTGAACTGCAAAATCAGTTCTGAAAGATTCTGACATAGGTATGTTACACTTAGGATTACTGTGTTTCTGACTTCATCCATTGCCTGGTATTACAAACAGAACATGTTTTGAGAAACTGGATCTGTTTCCATTCTTAGGTGAAAAGATTGGGACAGTCTGACTTGACCAGTGATTTGAGATTGGTTCTTTCTGTGGACCCAGCCGACTGGGTCATACAATATGAATCCATATTGAGAAAACCAGTTTTAACGAGCAGCTGGTTTATAGTTCTTATAGGGTGCCTGATGAAGACCTGTACAAAGGTTGAAACATGTAGCACAAGTTTTATACATATAATAAATAAGTGAAGTACAAATTGATATATGTGTGTCTTCAGGTCCTTTATTTGTTGTGTTGACAGTCACATTCTTAGATTTTACACATGCAACAGGATGCGCTCTATAAAGGATTTGCCAAATCTTTGTAACAGTGAGCTCTTTCTTCTGGGCTGGAGGCTTACCAACCACCTTCATCTAATGTGACAGCTAAGAATTAAGGAACACTTTACCTCTGTGTCATAATCCTAATGTCAGAGTTTAAGCTGTAGGCTATGAAGAAGTTAATTTTAACATTACATTATTTTAATGTAGACAGAGGCAGACTAATCTGAAGTCTTTTCTGTGTTCTTCTCAGTTCATCAGTTCTTGAAAAATGATATATTGTTTCAATAGCAAAATGTTCATAACTATATTTTGTGAGAATTGAGCAGTTGGTTCAAACAATTGATAGGGGATCGTGCATAGTACAAGTACCTTTTCCTTCTCAAAAGAAAATGTTTGTTTTTTTTTTTTTAATGCTAGTGGGGTGGGTCTAAGTCCTTTGTACTGCGGCCACTTCTGGCCTATTGTACCAGCCCCAGATGATAGGTGAGGGTGATTGTGGAGCAATTGGTGGAATGAAGATTGGCAGGGGAAACCGAAGTACTCAGAGAAAACTTGCCCCAGCGCCACTTTGTCCACCACAAATCCCACTTTACCAGACCCCGGGATCGAACCCGGGCCACTGGGGTGGGAAGCCAGCGACTAACCGCTTGAGCTATGGCGCGGCCCAAAGAAAATGGTTAATATTATGTATGATGTATTGTATGTAAATGTAGTCCTAGTGAGAAGTGATTATATATGTGCTGCCATGGTCCTAAGTGTATTACCTAAGTTTGTGGATTTCATACCCAGCATTATACTGTCACGTGTGTTAGTGATTAATAATGCAAGTTCTGGATTGGATGAGTGGGTTTATTTACTCCTTATAAACACCACCAGTAGTTACACCAGGGGCATAGGGTACATGGATGTGGTGGAAGCATTGCTTCCCTATAGAAAAGCAACCAAGAACATTTCTGGCAATTTTTCAATTTTGAAAAAATATTTCATACTTCAAAATATTAATTAATCTGAGAACATATATTACATATAATGAGAATATTGCAAGTTTTAATGTGTTACATAAACAATTTATCAGGATAGATCAGTTATTTTCTTCAAAAATGCAGGGAACCCTAAACTGCAACACGCGCGGAAGCAGCAGGTCTTTCGCTTCCACCCTCCCCTGGGTTAACTGGCTGAC